GCCGCCAGGGGGCAGCGCGGTCGCCACCGCTTAAAGGCGCCGCGCCAGCCCTCGCCGCTGCTGCGGGCTGGTTTGCGTCGCGGGCGGAGGGCGCAGCTGTCTTGCCGAGTGGTTTCTGGCTGAAGGGGCGAGGGGAGGGGGTTGTGGCGGGGACATTTCGTGTCTGTCGTTTGGGGGTAGTCGAGCTCCGGTCCTCGGAAGCATCCCGGTGCCCCAGCGGTATTCACTCCACCCCTCGGCAAGTGGTTGCAACTGCAGAGGGAGGGGGCGGCGCGGTGCGCAGAAACCTTCAGTGAGGTCGCCTCTTGTCGCCAGGGGAAGCTGACCCAGGCCCAGGCTTAGGGCGTTGACCGCCGACTCGCAGGACGCGGCCAGGATGAAGGGAACGTCCCAGGTACCCTTCCCTCCGCGGGGTGCGGGGGTGTGGGTGGGCGTCAGCCTCAGCACCTTCGGTCACCAACCCCACTTGCCCTGCCCTGCCCTGCCCAGCCCAGCCCAGGCCCTGCGGAGCCTTCCTGTCCTGAGAGCACCAGGCTTGGGGAGGGGAAATGGACACATCTCTCCTCCCAGGTCTAGACAAGAAAAATGGGTCCCCTGGGTGCCGGCTGCCGGGGTGGAGGGTTCCGAGTTTCGGCGGAGACTTTCAGGATGGCCTTGAAAATCTGAGAAGAGGAAGAGCTTGGATTGAGGAGGGAGCATCTAAAGACCTGGGGCGTTACGGGGATGACAGGCTTTCCTAACCAAACTTGAGTCAGGCTCCGTAAGTCTTCTTTCTGCCTGGGCTCTGACCTTGGGCTCTGTCCTCGGCCCCTTGGGTCCAGCTGTAGCAAAAATCCTGGTGAGTCAGAAAAATTTGCTGGCCTTGGTGGGAGATCGCCCTGGCCTGTCTACAGGAAGAATCCTGTCAAGTCAACTTACCCGGAATCCCCAGAGCCCTGAGGTTTGCCCTTAGCTTCCCATCTACCAGTTGCCCACCCTTGTGCCTTACTATAAATTCCCACTTGGCCTTGCCAGTCAGAATGGAGCGGTCGCTCTCCTGTTGAAAAACCCCCAGTGCAGATGTCTGCTTCTTAAAGTCTTCCTTGCCATCTTTAACAGGTGCTTTTGTATTTTCTTTAACAAGGGTGGGTGGTGAGTGGGAAAGACACGGGCTAGAGACTAGGCTTTGCATCCTCAGCCTTGAGTGCCCAGAGGGAAGGGTGGCAGCAACTCTGTGCCTCTGTGGTAATCGCACCTCCAGGGCAGAGGCAGGAAATGGATTCAAGGCCTCTAACAGGGCAGAAGACCGGAGTGTGCACTTGATCTTAGCCAAAAGGCCGAGAAGCGATAGAAGTCGGGCAGTGTGGACAATGACAATACACAGTTCACTGCTGAGGTCAACGGTAGGAAATCTCACACAGTCCCAAGCTGTAAGTGCTCTTGCATTCTTAGGGGCATACAGAGCCAGGGAGGCGGGGTGGTCCAAGAGGCTTCCAGGTTAGTTTCTTTATTCCTTCAACAAGCACAAGGACTCCAGTGGGTGGCAGAGATGCTTCTGAGCATTGGGGTTAAAGATGGGTAAGGGCGAGGTCTCAGGAGAAAGGATATAAGCCATTGATTCAAAACAAGTGATGAGGGCCCAAAGAAACGCACTGCCAGGCGTGGTGGCATGCACCTGTAATCCCAGCACTTGGGAGGCTGAGGCAGGAGGATCATCGCAAGTTTGAGACGAGCCTGGGCTACAAAGTGAACTCAAGGCCAGCCTGAACTGCACGGCGAAACCCTGTCTCAAGAAGGCAAAAAAAGAAAAAGAAAAAGAAATGCAGAGACAGGGCCATCCCTTCTGCTTTGCTGAAGGCTGAAGTCTGTGGTATCAGATCTTGAAGGATGAGCAGGAGTTTGGCGTTCCAGGTGGAAAGAAGAATGGGTGCCAACGTTCAGAGGATGAAAAGAGAAGAACGCCAGACTGATTGGGCGTGGGCAGATGGAAAGGGTGGGCAGGTGTGGCCTGAGCAGCGGGCCAAGGAAACTTGTGAACGACCCTGGAGATGTTGTGTGTGTGGTGACCTCCTAGTGGGGTCTGGGTGAAGTTCTTCTGGTATCATCTGAAGAATGGGAATAAAGTGCTACACTCTCAGAGTTGCTAAGGTGCTGAAAGGTGCCAGCCAAGGACGCCTTGAGAGCCAAGTATGTTGTATGAGGTCCAGGCATGCTCAGGCTCACAGGAAGCCCCTTCTTCAAGGCCCCGCCTGCTTCTGCCCCTAATTACAACCTTACCCCCAGTGCTTTTTTCCTCTGGTCTCCCAGGTTGCACTAGGTGAGTTGTGTCCCCACTGGGGACTTCCAAAGTGATCAGGGACACCCAGGATCATCACCTCCCGGCAGGATCAACTCCCTTGCTATGAGACCTTGCGGCCACTTAGCCCCTTCCCAGCACTGAAAAAAAAGTGTTACGGAGATATGGTAGGGACGGGGTAAGAGTAGTGACATCGGTCGTTGGAACTGGAAGAGCAGTCTTTGGCTTCAGAAAGACTCCGCTTAGGGATTCTGGTCCAGCCCTTCTCAGCTTAGCAAGTCACTTAGTCTCTGAGCTGCACGTGGAAAGGCAATACTTCCTTGAAGGATTGTGCTGAGATTTGAACAGGTGGTTGGGGTAGATGCTGCTGAGAGTTTAATGTTGGAGGATGATGTGACTAAAGTGAGCAGGAGAGCCAGGCGGATACCTGGCGTAAGGTGGGGGAATGCAAGTGCCCTAAGGTAGGCTTGGGCCTGGTATAGGCAGGGGAAAGGAAGAGATGGCAGGGAGACCAGACAGCTGGAGCAGAATGAGAAAAGGAGGGAGTGGGAGGAAGGAAGCCAGAGAGAATGGCCCGTTCACACAGGGTGCTGGGCCTCGCCTTCTGAGTGAGCTGGGACTTTGTCTAGTTGTACCAGGATCACCCTGATACCGTGTCGATGAGCAAGAATAAAGGAGACCAGCTAGGTGGCCAGTGCAGTGACCTCGGCCAGCGATGATGAGGGCTCAGCCCGGGTGACGGAGTGGGAGGTGGCAAGGTGTGGGCAGAGCTGGAGGAGAGCCATGGGGTTGGCTGCGGCTGGCACATGAGACATCATGGGTGCCTGAGGTCTCTGGCCCGGGCAGTTGGACAAATGGAGTTGCTGACAATTGAAACAGGGAAGACAGGAGGTTCAGCTTTGGGGGCTCAAGTCATGGGTTCTGTCGTGGACATTTGCCCGATAACCAGCAGAGACATCAAACAAGCAACTTGATAAAAGCGGCTGGAGCTCTGGGCTGTGACTCAAGCGAGAGATAAAATCGGGAGTTGTCAGTGAGAGGTCTTACTCTGACAGCCACGAGACTGGATGAGATCACCCAGGGCGTGAAGGGTAGGCAGAGAAAAGGTCAAGGATGAGCCAAGGGACACGCCAGTGTTTAGAGGTTGACAGTGAGGAAACAGAGGAACCAGGAGAGTTCACAGTCCAGGAAGCCAGGCGAAGGCGGTGTCTCTGGGGAACAGAGACAATCAGGTGGGTGGAATAAAGGCAGGAGTGACAGGTGGCCTTGGATCTAACAGCTGACAAGTCATTGGTGGCCTTCAAAAAAGCAGGTATGAGCCGGGCATGGTGGCGCACGCCTGTAATCCCAGCACTCAGGAGGCTAAGGCAAGAGAATCATCAAGAGTTCGAGACCAGCCTGAGCTACAGAGTGAGCTCGAGGCCAGACTGAACCGCCTAGTGAGACCCTGCCTCAAAAAGACCAAAAAAAAAGCAGATATGGGACCATCTTTCAGATATGTTGAATCAAAAAAGGCCAAGTGTAACACAGGACATGGAGTAGGCTGCCTCTTCATAAAATAGCATATAGAATGATAAGTTTGTGGGAATAGACTGGCTAGTTTCTGAAAAGATACACAGCAGTCCATGAATTGTAGTCCCCCCACTTTTTTTGTGGTACTGGGGATTGAACCCAGAAGGTTTGATTTTTTTGGGTTTTTTTTTTTTTTGGCGGGGCTTGTCTTCTTGAGACAGGGTCTCGCAATGCAGTTCACGCTGGCCTTGAGCTCACTTTGTAGCCCAGACTGGTCTCGAACTTGCAATGATCCTCCTGCCTCAGCCTCCCAAGTGCTGGGATTACAGGTGTGCACCACCACGCCTAGCAGTAGTTCCCTTTGGGGAGAGAAACTGGGAAAGGAGGTACTTGGAGTGAGGGGAGCCTCATTTTCTTTTTTTAATTTTTTTTCATTTTTTTGTCCTATTAAAATATTTCTCATCAAAAATGTATTACTTTTGCAATTACAGTATAGTTATGATAAGGAAAAATTCATGGCTGTTATGAAGTGGGAAAATATGTGAAGTGCTGGGCACAAGTCCAGAAACACCCATGTCCTGTAGAAAGGGCTGTGTGAAGAAAGGGAACCCTTAGCGGCACTCCTGGGGCTGGGGATTTAGCTCAGCGGCACAGAGCCTGCCTGGCAAGCGCAAGTTCATGAGTTCGATTCCTCGTATGGGAAGAAAAACAAAAAAATAAGAAAGAAAGAAAGGGAAGGAAAGGAAGGAAAAGAAGGAAGGAAGGAAGGAAGGAAAGAAAAACTACTCCATAACACCCTTAGAGGCACTCCTGTGGGTTTTCTAATCCTCCACCAAGCTGAAAATTAATCCGAAGAAACCAAAATAACACTTTCCGATAGAGCCAAATTGGTGTTATCATACTTTAAAACGTTGCAAATGATTATCGTCCTCTAAAATTTAATCTGTATTTCCTATGATTTGGATGTGACTTGATTGTGTCCCTCAGAGATTCATGTGCCAGTGTGACTGTGTTGCGGTGGTGGCCCCTTAAGAGGTGGGGCCAGGTGGAAGGTGATGAGGGTCACTGGGGCTCTGCCCTCCAAAGGGGACAATGTAATTTTCCCTGGACTCTTTTTTTTTTTTGGTACCGGGAATCGAACTTGGGACCTTGTGCTTGCCAGGCAGGCGCTTGTGCCACTGAGCTATATCCCCAGCCCCTTTCCTGGACTCTTGTTAGTTCCCATAGAAGCAGGTTGTAAAAAACTGTAAAGCCTGGCCTTCAGTCATTTTGCTTCCTCTCTTGCACCACCTCTCCCTCATGCAAGACCCCCCACCGTGATGCCATCTGCCATGTGATGTATCATAAGGCTCTCACCAGAGGCAAGCAGAATCCCATGCTATGGTCTTAAGCCTCCAAAACTATGCACTAAATAAACCTCCCTGCACAGAAATACCAAGCCTTGGGTATTTTGTTATAGTAACAGAAAATATTGGTCTTTTTTTTTTTTTTTTTTGTACCAGGAATTGAACTCAGGACCTTGTGCTTGCCTGAGCTGTGCCACTGAGCTATATCCCTGGAAAGCAACAGAAAATAGATTAATACACTATTCAAATATGCCAAATTGCTGCCTCTGAAAGTTCCCTTTATGACTTCTTTGCCCAACCCAGAGGCGTAGCTGGCCCTTGTGTGGCATGTGTTTATGATGCCTCCTGACCTCTTCTATCTAGACAAGTCCCCCTGGTGAAAGAGATGGAGTCAGTTACTCTGCATATGTTCTAACCCTCCAATTTGTCCGGTTACTTTCTTCATGGTGCCATTTAGTTTGTCCCTCTCTTCCCTGCATTTCCTGCAAACTTGAAATTGAATCTAAAACCTTGATTAGAATCAAGCTAAAAGCCTTTATCTAAAATACATGGTGGATAGTGTTAGGTATGCTAGCAAACACACAGGGTCTGGCTGTCCTGAGATTCTTATATATGTAGCGAATCCCCTAATCACAGCCCAAATCAAATAGAGAAATTCCTAGCCTCCTAGGTGACCCCCTCTTGTGTCTACTCCCAGACAAGAGCTCCCACTCCTAGGACTTCAAGAAGTCACGTACAATCAAAAATCACAAGCCAGGCGTGGTGGTGCACACCTGCAATCCCAGCAGTCAAGAGGCTGAGGCAGGAGAATCTTCATGAGTTCGAAGCCAATCTGGGCTACAAAGTGAGCTGAAGGCCAGCCTGAACTGCATAGCAAGACCCTGTCTCAAAAAGACCAAAAAAAAAAAAAAAAAAAAAATCCCTAATACTGAAGGAAAAAATCTCACAGATGACTTCTGCCG